GCCGGAGGCCGGCAGCGCAACCGTGAGGAGGGTTAGTGTGTGCTTCTGACGGCGTACTTGTAAAGTCCGGGCTTCAAAGGACCCGCTAAGCCCGGGGAAGAGTCAGGAAGACACTTCCGGGAGCCGTGTATCCATAGAGACGCTGTCGGAAGTGGGGGTTGCTAGGAGACCTGGGCGCCCGGCCTGTGCTGCGTGATGGCGAAGGTCCCGGAAGATTACGATTCTGGTGGATCCGATGAAGACGAAAAGCCTGAACTTATCAAAGCAGCGGAAGATGCCAAGCCAGACAACATCGCAGAGGCAGAACAAGAGCCACGGCCAGAGACGATCCCAGAGACTGAAGAAGACAACTTTGAAGAGGCGGAACCAGACCGTGCCAAGAATGGACCACTCACATCAGCCAGGACGCCTGAAAAAGATTTGTCCAAGGAGTCAGGTGTAGACCTAGCCGAGGAGACTCAGCCAGGGATCCCCCCGGAGACATCCAGAGAAATGGGAGGAGAGCTCGTTACAGATTTGCCGGTCCCTATGGAAGAAAAGCTTGATGAACCCGGCCCAGAGGCCCAAAAGGAAACCATACTAGATGTTACAGAGAATGTATCCGTTCAGTCAGTTGAGGAAACAGATCTAGAGTTACCAAAGGAAAGCAAGCCTGAGGTTCTGGGGAGCACACTCCCTGAGACAGCAGTGGAGCTTTTGGAGGAGCCCAGCCCCGTGGTTTCAGAGGAATCCCACCGCGAGCCTTATGAAGCGATTCTTCAAGGGCCTCTAGATCAGACGAAGCCAAAGTTCCCAAGTGATACCCCAGGAAAATCAGTTGAAGGAACAGATCCACAGACACCAGAGATAAGGGCATCAGAGAGTCCAGAAGAAGCACACAGGGAGTCAGTTCAGGAACAAGAGGGAGAGCCACTGGAGCAGACTGCCCCAGAGTTTCTAGAGCAGACTCGAAAAGAGTCTATTGACGCAGATCTGGAAGCTTCAGAAGAGAGGAAACCAGAGGTTCCAGAGGAGACTGGAAGATCATCCGAGGAGCAAGGGACAGAGCCACCTGAGCAGACTCCACCAGAGGCCCCAGAAAAGACACTAAGAAAATCGATTGAAGATACATGGCAAAACTCAACCAAGAAGAGAGCCCCAGGGCTACTAGAGGAGACTGAAACCTTGTTTCCCAAGGAAGAGTCAGGATTACTAAGAGAGGGAACAGATCCAGAGCTACTAGAAAAGACCCAGCCAGAAGTTCCAAAGGATGCAAGAAGAGAGTCATATGAGGAACAATATTCCAACTCATCGATGAGTGATCTAGAGCAACCACAGGAGATCAAACCAGAGGTTCAAGGGGAGACACACAGAAAGTCAACTAAGGAGAAAGACCAAGAGTCACCAGTTAAAGTCAGTCGACCATATAGAAGGACCTACGCAGAATCTTCCAAGGATGACAAACCAGAACCCATCAAACTTCAGTTTTCTGGAGAAGCTGAGGAACTAGGGTACCTCAAGTACCAACTAATAAAGTCAACAGAAGAAGAAACTAGAGACTTAGTGTTAGAATTTAACAGAGAAAATGAAGCAGAATTAACAGAAACAGATGTAAAGGTTTCTGAAGAACTACTTAAGATAACTGACCATTTCATTAAAGAAGATGAAAGCTTGGATTCCCTAGAGTCTCCCTGGGACTTAGAAACATCCTGCAGTGAAACGGAAGTTTTAGATTTGACGGAAGAGGTGAAGGAATTGGTACCTGAAGATAAAGACACCCAGCCAGCTGAGAGTGAGCTACAATTTGAGTTTCTTAAATGGAGCCCACAGGATGTTGCAGACTGGATTAGCAAGCTAGGCTTCCCTCACTATGAGGTATCCAATATAACTTGTTTTTGTAGAGTTTTACATGTTCTCATCCTGTTCTGAACTTCTGCCCTTCCTGAGCTTTTACCTCTTCTCTAGGAAGGTAGAAAGGTTCTGGACTGTGGTAGAAGTCATTTGGATTTTAATTTTGGTGTTGTCACCAATGCATATTTGTATTTTGAGGGGAGAGAATGGAGATGGGTTTGATTTGGTTTTGCCCTGTTTATCCCCAAGATCATACTTTCTCTGCAATCCTCATATCAAGACTAGGAAACCTAGGTGGGCTCCTTTTCATAGAAAACTGGATTCTTGACAGGTTTTTGGTAATTTTTTCCCTTACCTTGAACTTGTACTATTCAAAGTGTCTGTCTTAAATATGTCATGTATCATGAGTACCTCACAGCACTAATCTAATTAGCCACTTAAACCCAACATAGTTTTGTTTCAAAGATAGGTTGTCTCTTATTTCATTGACGTCAATGCTTGTATTAGGTGCCATAACACAAGAATTGAAGTCTTTGATGCCCGCTCTTCAATTACATTTTACAAGGAACTGTAATAGCGGTACACGTTGACTTTGTAAATGCTAATTCAGTTCCTTAATGAAGAAGCATTCATTGGAACAAGTCAAAGTTTATGTGTCCATGAATGTAATGTGGAGAAAATCACTTGTTCTATATTGGTATATCCACCCTCGCATAGCTACCAAGTACTCCCAGATAAATGTCATACTCTTTTTCTGCTCATATATGATATAACTGTTTATGAGCTCCAGTTTCTTCTTACATATGGAGTACTGAATTTTCCAAATACAATTAAGAAATAGAATTAGTGTGAAATTTAATCAGGAACTTACATGGAAAAATGTATTATGAGGATAGAAAATGAAATTGAATTTCTTTTTCTTATTATAGAACTGGAGACAAACATGATTTCTTTCCTCTCTCTCACTCTCGCTCTCGCTCTCTTTCTCTTATTCTCCCCTGCTGTTTGCAGTCCACCTTTCGAGTGATGTTCTTATTATACTGACAGGAGTGTTTTACCACAAACTTCATCAGTGGCCGGAAACTCATCTATGTAAACTGCTCAAACCTCCCTCAGATGGGGATAACAAAATTTGAGGACATGAAGGTGAGTGTGCACAGTTTCCCTGTCGAACACCAGGAATAGTACCCAGCACCTGTCTCAAACCAGCCTCCTATCACCCAACCAGGGCTCGTCTTTCTGTCAGTGGTGTGGCCAGACTGCCAGGCGCTTAGGTTCCCAGGATCCTTTCCCACAAAGACCTCAAGAACTGTCCATTCGTCCTGTGGTTTTCTTTCTTTCTTATAATCATGTTATTGGGGGCTCATGCAACTCTTGCCACAATCCATACATCCATCCATTGTATCAAGCACATTTGTACATTTGTTGCCATCATTTTTAAAACATTTGCTTCTACGTGAGTCCTTGGTATCAGCTCCTTGGTTTTCCCTCCTCCCTCTCCCGCCCTCCCTCCCTCGTGAACCCTTGATAATTTATAAATTATTATTATATTTTCATGTCTTACACTGACCAATAATCTCCCTTTACCCCCTTGTCTGTTGTGCATCCTCCTGGGAGGAGGTTATAGGTAGATCATTGTGATTAGTTCCCCCTTTCTCTCCCACCTCTCCCGTCCCCTCCTGGAATGGCCACTCTCAAACCTCCTGTGGTTTTCTTTGAGCCCCCTTGTTCAGACTTTTACACCATCAGACCTAGAACACACCAGTTTTAGATTCTCATCATGGCCCCTTTGGGTTCAAACCCCTGCTTTCAAGAGTCTCCCCTTCCAAGGATGTGTACTGTTCTCTGCGCAGAAGCCCTCACTCCATTTATAAGAGCGTTTCAGCTTCTTAGCTCAGGATTGACCCGAGGCTCTCCACAAATTTTTCCCAGTCTGTATCCACTCCCCTAACCACATCTCTATGGAACTCTTTGCTCCCGCCTAACAGGTCCACTTCCCAAACTCACGGATCTATCTTGTGCATCTCTCCCTCTGTAGCTTTGTTCATCTAACCTTTCCCTGGATTAATAACGTGTTAATCACCTTTCAAGGATCCCTGGTGGCACAGTGGTTAAAGCACTTGACTGCGAAACAAAAGGTCAGCAGTTGAAACCTGCCAGATTTAAGGCTTGGAAATCTGGCCAATCTGCAGATCTGTTCTACTCTGCCTGTAGAGTTATCAAGAGGGTGCATTGACTCAAAACAGTGGATGGACCCAGCTCAATTCTTTTTTTTTTTTAAATCATTTTATTGGGGGCTCGTCCAACTCTTAGCACAATCCATCCATCCATCCATGGTGTCAAGCACATTTGTACATTTGTTGCCCTCATCATTCTCAAACATTTGCTTTCTACTTGAGCCCTTGGCATCAGCTCCTTGGACCCAGCTCGATGCTAATCTCTTTCATAAAGTCATTCCTGACCTTCCAAGCCCACAAGAATCTTTCCCCCAAAGTTCTATTTTACTTCTGCAACACCCATTTGGCACTTTCATAACGCCATATGTAGTTTACTGGCTTTGCTGTCTACATTTGAAATAAATGACATTAACCTCTCAAAGCCTTTAAGGTTCCTAAGCTCTCCAGTATCAACCTTGAAATAACAGAAATATGAAGACATTTTAAAGTATTGCCCCCCCCCAAAAAAAAAAGTTGGGGGCAGGGGGCTCTGAGTTCACAAGAAGGAGAGAGACCGCCACCATCAGCATCAGCTGCCCAGCCTGATTCCTACAAGGCTCAGGTCAGACCTGCCGGCGCCCTTCACCCTTCTCACAGCAGCTTTCCCTTCCATAGCAGTTTTAAAAATCATTTTATTACGTGCTCATACAACTCTTATCACAATCCATCCATCCATCAATTGTGTAAAGCACATTTGTACATTCCTTGCCCTCATCATTCTCAAAACATTTGCTCTCCACTTAAGCCATGCCATCAGCTCCTCATTTATTCCCCCTCCCCCCTCCCTCCTCGCTCCCTAATGAACCCTTGATAATTTATAAATTATTATTTTGTCATATCTTACACTGTCTGACGTCTTCCTTCACCCACTTTTCTGTTGCCCATCCCCCAGGGAGGAGGTTATATGTAGATCCCCCTTTCTACCCCACCCTTCCGGTATTGAAGCTCTCACCACTGGCCCTGAAGGGATCATCCGCCCTGGATTCCCTGTGTTTCCAGTTCCTATCTGTACCAGTGTACATCCTCTGGTCTAGCCAGATTTGTAAGGTAGAATTGGGATCATGATAGTGGGGGAGAGGAAGCATTTAGGAACTAGAGGAAAGTTGTATGTTTCATCATTGCTACACTGCACCCTGACTGGCTCATCTCCTCCCTGCAACCCTTCCGTAAGGAGTTGTCCAATTGCCTACAGATGGGCTTTTGGTCTCCGCTCTGCACTCCCCCTCATTCACAATGATATGATTTTTTGTTCTGATGATGCCTGATACCTGATCCCTTCGACACCTCGTGATCGCACAGGCTGGTGTGCTTCTTCCATGTGGGCTCTATTGCTTCTGAGCTAGATGGCCGCTTGTTTACCTTCAAGCCTTTAAGACCCCAGACGCTATATCTTTTGATAGCTGGGCACCATCAGCTTTCTTCACCACATTTCCTTCCATAGCAGTCTTAAATTCTCAGCTGGGTTTGATAATTCATTGTACTGACAGCATAGAACTCACAGACTGTTCTCACAATTAGGGGGCTGTATTAGGGAAGTTGACAAGTTCCATTTCAGGATCGGAAATGTTCAGGATACAGTTCTTTAGCCAGGACAGCCTCTATTTATGGACTAAATTGTGGCTGTCCTACTGACTTTCAACCGCGTGACCCAGCCTCTGCCTTATTGTGATGTGACAAAGCCCCTTTAATGCTGCTGATAAATGCCCAGAGAGCACACCTTTCCACCATAAGCCTCAGTCTGAAGGAACACAGCTTAGGCTCCCTGGGTCAGTGAACCTAGTTCTCCCAAGTAAGTGCCTGGAGGCACTGGTGCCCCCTGTTGAAAGCTCACCTCCACCTGCTCCGTAGACCAGGATGCCTACCACTCTGCCTCCTGCTCTGCCTCTTGGTTTTGCTGCTGCCACTTCTCTGGTGCTTCTTTGGTATCACAGCTTCTCTTCTGTATCAAGGAGATTCAAGTCACAGGAATCTCAGGGTCCAAAGGACAAGCTCTCCACCCCTGCCTCTTCTCTACTGATGGCAGTGACAGCCCCCGCTGGTTCTGAGTGAACTCATTTTAAACTCAGCAGGATGGCAAACTGGCCAGCCACTTTTAGAATGAGAATTCCCATTTCGTTACAAGCACAATTAACCCTAATCGGCACTCAACTGAAACATATAATTCTGTCAGCATCTTCTCCCACCTTGTCTTACCCAGGCCCAGCAGTAGAATGTTGCTTGGGCACAGTTACAAAGTCGATAGCTAGAAGAACCATAGTAATTAATGCACTGTAAGTATGCACATCAGGTTCATTTGACATTAGATACACATAAAAAAGCTAATTATGCTACATTATACAGGTACCTTCTTAGAGATCACACATTAGGGTAAATATACCAAACTTATCTTCCTTGTGGATAAACTAAACATTTATATTCCCACCATTGTAATGATAATAATTTTTTTAACTACCATCAAGTCAATGCCGACTCATATCGACCCTATGGGATAGAGTAGAACTACTGTAGCTTTCCAAGACTGTAATTCTTTGTGGGAATAGAAAACCCTGTATTTCTCCCATGGAGTGGCTGGTGGTTTTGAACTGCTGGCCTTGTGGTTAGTAGCCCAACGGAGAACCACTCTGCCACTCGGCTCCTTGTAATAATAGCACTTAGGAGAGCCACGGTTTATCCCATAACAACACTGGAACAGGAGAGTTAACTACTCACATTTCACTCTCTCTTATCCTCATTGGGGAGAGTGGGGAGAAAGTGGTTGCTTGAGAGCCCTGAATTCTGGATATGCTGCTAAGCCTCTGAGCCACTTTTCCAGTCTGTACCCCCATGACTAGGCCTGCTGTCCATGTCTGAGCAAACACGACTATCTCCAAATCTGCCTGCAACTTCCTTGATTGTGGAATTATTCATGCTTCACCTGCGCAAACAACTAATTCTCCCCTTTGTCCTTACTGCATTCTACTAAGATGACCAGAAAAGAGGTCAGTGTGTTGGCACAACTGGCGGGGTATGAGGGAGTAATGTACTGCCAAACAAGGTGCTTACGGTTATTTCTCTACCCAGCTAGCCGGGGGTGTCCTTAAAACCACTATTCCTTCTTTCCCATTTGTAGTGATAACATTATTTTGGTAAAAGGTGGAAGGAGTCAGTCTTATTTATTCCAAGGGCAAGCTAGATAAGACAGCTTAATACTTGCTTCAGTGTTCTCCTTTCAAAAACTACCCTCAGAATAGATTCACAATTCACTCCATCCAGGTCCATTTTCAAGTGAAAATGCCTGGTGAAGAATACAGATGAATTGTTTATTTCTTTTGTGTGGATGAGTTCATATCATAAAAGGAGCTTCCTAAGCTATGTAACATCCCAGAAAGTTGACTACATGTACACAACGTGGTGAGACAATGGTGGTACAATGGTTAATGCACTTGGCTCCTAACCAATGTGGGGAATTTGAGCCCAGCAACCTCCACGGAAGTTGTGACAATCGTTCCCATGAAGATTCCAACCTTGGAAATCCAATGGGCCATTATACTTGGTCCTATGAGTTGGAATCAACTTAATGGCTGTGGGTTTGGTTTGGGTTTTACTTTACTTAAGCTATTGAAATAGCACCAAATCAGCATGTGGGTAACCAGTTTTTTAAAACATTTAAAATAATTTCAGTTTTTCTAAAAAGAGATTAAAAAGAGAGTCCAATGACTTCTTACATACTCTTAACATGGCGTCCGCCAGGGCTGCATCTTAACTGACCATGCGCTTTTACCAGAGACTAGGAACTCAGCACTGGCACAGCGCTCCTAATCCACATGCTGGCAGGATGTTCAGTGAGATGTTCTCGCTGAGCAGAGAGTATGGGCCATTGTCTTAGAATGTGGAAAATCTAATACTGTGATGATTCATGGAGAGCAATTGTAATCCTTCTTGCTAATTCAAATACGTTACTTCTGTTGCTAAGTCTTAGGCAAAAAATTAAAACCTGTTGTTTGTTGCTTGTTCATCAGAACCACAGAAAGAGCTTGCCTATTTCTGGCCTGCTGATGGGCCTCAAACATACCTTCAGAATCACTGAATTAGATGAGGAGGATTCAATTATATTTCCTGATTCTAAATGTTCCATCTCCACATGTAACCTGTGGTCTTGTGACACTTTTAGTTTCTGTGTTAGACTATTAGATTGACCCGTTTTCAACTCTCACCACCTACATTGAGCACATAGCTCTTCTTGGTATAGATGGCTGCCAAGACATCCCTGGGGGCATGGTCTGTAAACCTCAAGGGATTGATAGATAACCTCTTTTAGTGTGGGGCATTCTACAGGAGAGGCTACAAGAGGTTGCCCGTCTGAACACACTGACCAAGCAAGGTGCTTCATGTGGCAGCATCAATTACAAAGCAGAACACTTATGCCACCTAAGAGTTGTAATCAGCAGCAGTTGAATCTCAACTATTAGAAAGCCCACTGGCCTCAGGGCTCAGGTCGTCCTCTCTCTGGGAATTCCAAGCAGCCATGTAGACTCTTCAGCCTAAAAACCATTCTGGAACCCAAACTCAACCAACTCATGTCGAGTTTGAGAAGAGAGGTATCGTGTTGCTCTAAAACCCATTTCTAGTGGGCAGTTTTGCATCAGGTTGAGATTTGTCTGTGGCATGAATCGTACAGCCTTGAAATGATGGTTGATAGCTGCTTTGATATTAAAGTAATTTTAAAAGTCACTGCACATAGCTCCTATGTCTATGCTGTAGCGGACACCTCCTGGCCTACATTCCCCTTGGTGTGCATCTGTGGATTCAAACGGCAGGGTGATAGCTGACCTGGAATAAAACTAGAACTTGAAAAGGAAAGCAGGCAAGCGCAGCTTGATCCAGGATATTAAGTGGATTGAGCCTGGTGGCGCAAGGACTAGAAATATGTTTGCAAGACCCTGACGATGGTGGAAAGTAACACTTGGGAAAACTTTGCAAGTGAAAAAAACAAAACAACTTTGCAAGTGTAGGTACCACTATTAAATCAGCTTAAGCAGAATGTCTGTTTTGAGTGTAAAGAGCTGGATTTTGTAGTCAAGCAAACTGCCTCAGCAATTACTTCAGTTTCTTTCTTAGTTTCAAGTTCATGAAGCCCCTTTTTTTGTTTGTTTGGGTTTTTTGTTTTTTCTTAAGTCATTTTATTGGGGGCTCGTACAACTCTTATCACAATCCATCCATCCATCCATTGTGTCAAGCACATTTGTACATTTGTTGCCCTCATCATTCTCAAAACATTTTCTTTCCACTTGAGCTCTTGGTATCAGTCCTCATTTTCCCTCCTCCCTCCCTAAAGCCCCTTATAGACAACCTATGTATTAACCTTCCTAGGGAGAATTGTGAAAGTGTGATCTACTCTCATGGTTGGGTAGGTTGCTAGGCCAGAAAAAAAAAGAAATGAGACCTTCCACAGCTATCTGATGCAAGGCCTAGAGACATCTTTCAACCAGGCTTTAAAAATATAATTAATCATATGATTATCTATAAAAATATAATCAATCCATTTTGATAAGGCCAGGCTAGCAAGCCTTGACACTTGACATTTTGTTATTTTATTTTCCCACAGAAATGACTGAAGTAACCTTGCATTTAAGGGATCTACTAAACTTGGTAAACCACTTTAGATTGACTTGTTTTTTCAGGTTATTCCCATTAAAAATGATTCTCGCATTTCAGGTCATTTCTCGGCATACTCGGGAGCTACTGGGAATTGAAGAGCCTTTGTTCAAACGCTCCATCACCCTTCCCCGCAGGGACAACATGGGTTTGTTTTTAGAACAAAAAAGTCACACTGGGGTAAATTCGAATTCCTTGACCCTCTCCGCATATGTCCAAGCAGCAAGATTACAAGATTATGCACCGCAAAAAACTTCTTCTGAAGAGAAACCCAGGTATTCAGATGCAGCAGACCATGGTGGAAGGCACTTCCACTCAGCGTGACAGATCAAAGTAAATCCCTCTGGGGAAGAAATACGGCCTTTTTTGTTTTGTTTTTCTTTTTCTCCATTACAGTTAAAACTGCCCCCTCCTTCCTAGTTCTGCCACTAACTGGGAACAGCACCCCCTTGTGTTTCAGTTCAGAGTCAAAACCTCACCGCCATCAGGTCAATTCCAACTCACTGCACCCCACCCACCGCCCGGCCCCCAAGAACAGAGTAGAACTGTTGCTGTGGGTGTCCCAGACTGTCCATCTCCACAGGAGCAGACTGCCTCATCCTTCTCCCTCAGACCTGGTGGTGGTAAGTTTGAACTGCTCCTCTTGTGGTTAGTAGCCCAACTCCAAACCCCCTATGCCACCAGGGCTACTTTGTTTCAACTCAGCCCTTCATTCAGAGATCTAAATACTTAACTCTAATGGGTCACTGTAAGAATTCCTGGCATGTCCCAATAAGACATTCGGAAATAGAAACATGTTGGGGAAATTAAAAATAAAATTACCTGCCGCCCCTGATATTCTCCTCCACAAATTCTGGAGAGCAGTGTTTTGTTATTCAATAAACATTAAACCCAACTGCAGTGTACATCATAATCCCTCTGCCCGAGAGATTTCAAAGACAGAAAGCAAGCTTGCCCTTCTAGCTAGCCAGGCAAAAGCAAGCCATTTACCTAGATGTTAACCAGCTTTCTAAAGGAACACAGCAACTTCAACATGGGGGAGAGGGCGTCTTCCTGGAGCCAGGTGCCTAGGCTTCACTGCTGGGAAGAAGGCCTTATACTTCACAGAGATGGCCCAAGGCCTCCAAGACATTCCCCAGGGTGCGGAACTGACAGATGAACTAAGCCTTGAAGCTTTACCCATATCTCAAAGACAAGATTTGCAAGGACAAGTTTTCTAAAGGAAAATTTAGGGGAAAATGAGGAAGGTAGGTGCCCTTTCTGTTTGGGCACCAGAGAAGATTCCCTTTTGAGTTTTATTTGTTGAGATTTCTAGTACCCTAACCCAGGACATGAGTTAGGGAAGGGCCAGCCATGATGAAAACAGGCTTTTGAGGTAGCTGCCAAACCATGAACAAGCATGAAACTGGGCCAAGCTACCCAGGAGAGCTTCTCAGAGGAAACTATAAACTACTGCCGGTTACTTGAACAGCTCCAGTCCCCCCTCACATTTCAAAGATTCAACGGCTCCTCCCTATCTTGCTTTGCCCTCAAAACCACTAGCCAGACCAGACCTGCTGTTGAGTTGATTCGGACTCAGAGCAATCCAGTAGGAACCGCCCCACAGGGTTTCCAAAAGTGTTAGAAAGTTGTGGGCAGCATATGCCCCCCGATTCTCCTGCAGGAGCAGCTGGTGAGTTCAAACCATAACCTCTGGTTAGTAGTCAAGCCCGTAACCACTCTGCCCATCAAGGCCCTGGAAAAACCACTACAGGGTGACCAGAAGCCATAAAGACAGTGGAATATATTGACATCCCCTGTCCTGTTTCCTATCTGTGGATGAATTCTCAAAGGAATCCAGGATTAGCCCTCGATTTGCATCTCTGAGGACGGTACTTTAACGTAGCATCCTGACCAAGATCTCTCTCAAGCCACCCCAACACCCTACCATTGAGTTTGCCTGGCTCATAATTATGCAACAATCACAGTGTCTCATTAGGCCCAGACCGGGGTGACTGCTGGGGAGGGGTCTTGTGGAAAGGTAGTCTCGCCTTTAGCAAACATGGTTCTGTTTGATGGCAAAGCAGAGTGAATGACATCCTTTTCCAATTTTCCTGCTAGATGGGGTCGTTGCTACTTCTCTCATAATAGACAACAGGGCTTTACAAAACATCTAGGACATACAAACACTTTCGCCTTAGACATATGTTCTGCACTGGGTGCAGTTATTTTTCATCATTTGCTATCCATACCAGCTTTTTCTTTTGAAACTTTAAAAAAAATGATGGGACCAATTTTAAAGAGTCATATTTAGCTGAAGTGAGTCATGATTCGATTCAGATCTTTTACCATTCATTTTACTTCTCTATCCAAAAGTGGTAGGAACATCAAGCTGCACGATTTGCCGAAAGACAGACGCTCGCTCGCACATCATAAGAGGGAACTCGCTTGTGTTCAGAAGGCTTTCTGGGGAAGCAGCTGACCTAAGTGGGTCAAATTTTGTTGCATTTGATTGCTTCCGAAAGCCGGGCGCCCAGGACCTCGTTTTATTCCACGTTGCAGAGCGCCGCAGTACATTTTTCTAATTCCTTAGCGCCTAATTTGTGGCCAACACGATCCCGTCACGTGACTCCCGCAGCCAATCAGGGCCGTCGGGCCACACCCACATAGGGCTAAGCTGCGTGAGTGTCCGTTCTTTCCTTATTGGGTGGGGAGCCCGGGGCGGAGACCTCCTGCCGGTCTTCCTTGGTTAGGGAGACGCCGAATGAGCGGCAGTAAAGATGGGTCAGGTGGTCCTGGAGGGCCGGGCTCGCGGCCAGGTGCTGGCTGAAGGGAGTTTCCTTGAGCTGCACGGCTGTCAGGTCAAACCAAGGGAAAGGCCTGGGGTAAAGGAAGAAACGAGCGGCGTTACTTACACCTGAAACCCGTGCTCGGACCCAACCGCTCTTGCACTTCGAAACACGCCTCTTCCTCGTCTAGAGCACGCTAATTAAAATGCATACTTTGGGAAACTGGAAATTCAGTTGGAGCTGTTCCCCACGTGGATTTAATTGTCCCTTTGACTTTTCACACAGAAAATGTACTCCTCATTTCTTTGTCTTTGGAGAATTCACAATGAGACAATTATACTGACACCGACATCCTTTGCATGGTGTTTCCCTTACATTTAAGAGAAAGCTATACGAGGCTCCGGATGTGCGGAATGGGAAAGTTGGAATGGCTTCTCTGAGAGCCTCTTTATCTGTGTGGGAAAAGCACCAGTCATTTCTACGCACATTAAAACGGGGACAGCATTAGCATTTCAGCAGCAGCAGAATTGAAGTAAAAAAACAGGAAGTAGATTTTTCATGGGTAAAAAGTGTGTGTCATGATGGAAAGCCCCTCCTGGGGCTGAGCGTTACAAGAGCCTCCTGCAGACAGCCTGGTATGCTCCTTATGCGCACCGCCTGGGTCCACTTACTGAGGGGACCGGGAAAGCAGCCGTCATGAGACAGGTTGACTTTGGATCTGTCCCATTGGTACCCATTGACCCGGTCCACAGAGGTTAGACACAAGAGAGGCTCATGGCAAAGTGGCATGCCCTTTGGGCATTTATTGGCAACCCTAAAAAAAAAAAAACTTTGTAACTTTGCCCATACAGGGCAGAGGCCAGGCCAAAAGTAGAAACTGTCCTAACTGGACAATTGTCCCCTGAGCATTTCTCAGATGAATTGCAACCTGTTAACTTCCCTAATCATGAGGGCTGTCTCTGAGTTCTGTGTGGCCATTCCAATGAATTCTCAAGCCCAGCAGAAAGTAGAATGCCGTGGGAGGAACAGGGCCAAGGATAGAGGGTGGAGGCAGGGCTCAGCTCGGCCTTGTGGCAGTCAGGAGCTGGAGGTCAGATGTGGCACCACCATGTTTTTTAAGCTCGCAAAGGGACTCTTTGAAAAAAACCCTTCTCTATGGAGCAGCTGGTGGTTTCAAACTGCTGACCCTGGAGCCAGCAGCCCAGCTTACATCCACTACACTACTAGGTATCCTTTTGCTTTAAGAAGCAAAGCCCGCATTTGTAATGACTACATTTTATTGATTCTCTAAGAAAATGTATGATTGGATCTTCAGAAGGGCAGAAAGTTGAGGCTGGGTGACTCTGCTTCCTTTTGTGCCAAGTTGGCACTGAGGTGGCCACCACACGATGGATGGGCCCTCCACTAGCATGGCTTGCTGGCTGCCTGCTATATCACAGTAAAATTCTGAGCACCCCACTTTCAGAAGGCGATGGAAGACAGTGAGAGCCCCTCTATTCCCTGGGAGAGCTGCTCACAGAGGCTGTTCTCCCGTTGTAGAGGGTTCCTGTGAATCAGCATTGACTCGGTGGCCGTGAGTTTGGTAATTTCTGGAGTGAAAAAAGATGTCTGCCTTGAACATTACGGTCATTTTATACGGGATCAAATTGACAACAGCAAATCTTAGTAGACAAGGACTCTAGAGGGGCCGTGGACTTATGTTATCAGGGTAACAACTGCTCAGAACGGAGGGTGAGAAGGATTGCAGGACTCCGCATGTATCATCAGCATCACTAAATAGTACTGTCGTAATGGTGTATGTTTTGCTATTATAGTCTCACCCCTGAACTGCCAACAAAATAAACAAATAAAAGTACCTATTTTTAAATGTTGGGGAAAAAACCCACGATATTAATTCCATAATATCAACAAATAGGCAGTTTCATACCTTTTTTTTTTAAGTTAGCTGTTTGCTCCGCGTGGCTTTTGGTTCCTATGACAGTTCAGACTTCTTTCATCTGCAGGGAGCCCCCTCCCCACCCCCTGCAGCTCTTTTGTTAAGACACCAGGTGAGTGGCTTGCCCTTTAAAGTTTCCCACAGTCTGGATTTTTCCAGTTCCATCTCATGGTGTTGACACTTTCCTCTGTCTCTGGAATTTTCTGATTTAAAAAAAAAAAAGGTGATTCAATCCGGGGACTTGATCAGATTTAGGTTTGATGGTTTGGCAAGAACACTTCATAGATGACTATGTGCTCCTATCAAGAAAAACAGCCTCTGCTTTTATTAAGGGAGGCTTTTTCATAGATTCGGCCTGGTCTGCTCACTGTAGCATTCTCCTATCAGCTTCCATAATTTCATTATATCCATTAACTCAGTAGAGATGATCCAACGATGGTATTTCCTGGGGGAGGTGGTGCGTTATACACTTGGCTGGTGTGGTATTCGTATCTAGGCTGGAGATTGATAGTTTTATGTTATCAGCATCCCAAACTCACTGCCATCGAGTAGATTCTGACTCATAGCGACCCTGTAGGACAGAGTAGAACTGCCCCTCTGGTGTTCCAAGACTATAAATCTTTACAGGAATAGACAGCCTCATCTTTCTCCAGTGGAGAATCTGATGGTTTTGAACTGTTGACCTTGCTGTTAGCAGCCCAGTGAGTAACCCACTATGCCATCGGGGGCTCCTCTTGGTCCAATAGGGAAGTATTTTATTAGGTCCACCAGGGCGAACGTCTCTGAAGTGGAAAAGGTCAACTGAGGGTCCAGAAGTAAAGCCAGACATCTCTGGTCCGTTGGTTTTCAACAGGGTGCTAAGGACATTCAGGGAGGAGAGATTCGTCTCTTCAGTCACTGGTGCTCAGAAAACTGGATTTCCACTTGCAAACAAATGAAGCTGGACCCATCCCCCACAGCATATATGAAAACCAATTCAAAATGGGGCCGCAACCTAAATGTCAGAACTCAAACTCACAGGACAAGCAGTGGTGTGAAGCTTCAGACCTAGTTTGTTCATACTGGGTCTTCAGATCGATCTGACCAACCCACGACAAAGCAGATAGATTGAACTTCACCCTATTCAACTTGTGGATTAAAGGGTTTTACCAACAAAACGAAGGAATAGCCTACAGAATGGCAGAAAAATTTGATCCAAAGTACTCCTACAACTCCAACTGAAGAACAAAAAGACAAACAGTCCGTTTGACAAAGCCCAAAATAATAATAATTTATGAATTATGAAGGGTCCATGAAGGAGCGGGGAGTGGGGAGGGAGGGGGGGAAAATGAGGAGCCGATATTAAGGGTTCAAGTAGAAGGCAATTGTTTTGAGAATGATGATGGCAACAAATGTACATATGTGCTTGACACAATGGATGGATGGATGGATTGTGATAAGAATTGTATGAGCCCCCAATAAAATGATTTTTAAAAAATCTGACGAAGGGACTAGAATAGACATTTCCAAAGAATAGACAAGGGGCCAACAAGCACATGAAAAGATGGTTGATGTCACTAGTCACTAACCCACAAATCCCACCATCGCTGAGCTGATACCCACTCACAGGGACCCTGCGGGACAGAATAGAAGTATTCCCTAGAGTTTCCGAGGCTTTCAATGTTAACAAAACCGGATTGCCTCATCCTTCGCCTGCTGACCGGCAGGTGCACTGGAACCCCTAACTTTGTGTTTTGTTTGTTTTAGCAGCCTGACACTCAGGGCTCCCTCATTAGTCACTAGGGAAATGCAAATCAAAGCTGCATGAGATGCCCTTGACGGCCAGAGAAGGACACTAGGCGGTGTGGGTGAGGCTGTGGAACAGCTGGGACCCTTGGGAACTGCCAGTAAAACCCAACTGACCACCATCAAGTAGCTTCTGATGCTCTCCGACTCCTAACGCCGCTCCAGGATAGAACAGCACTTGCCCCGTGGATCTCCAAGGAGCGCAGAAAGCCTTCCCTTTCTCCCAAGGATCAGCTGATGGATGGGTTTGAAACACTGACCTTGCCGTCAGCAGTTCAACACGCAACTCACTGCCCCACCAGAGGTCTGCTCTGCTCGTAGGAATGTGAACTAGTGCACTCAGCGAAAACAGTTTTGTGTTTCCTCGAAACATGGAACCATAGCTTCACCATAGGACTGAACCAGCAATTCCACCCCTAAGTATATACACAACCGAATCGAGAGCAGAGACACAAACAAACGTGTGTGCTAATGCTCACTGCAGCACTGATCACAACAGCCAACAGGTAGAAACCACCTCCACAGCCATCAATAGAAGACCGAGTAACAAAAGGTGGTATCGAAATTCTGGTTCATGCCATCTGGATGAACCTTGAAAACATTACGCTGAGTGAAATAAGTCAGACACAAAAGAATATCATATGATCCCACTTCCATGAGATGTCCGGAAGAGGTAAATACATATATACCAGAGTCTATCGGAGGGTACCCGGAGTGGGAGGAAAGGGAAAGGGGGGCGGGATTACTGCTGAGGGAGGCTGAGTTTCTGTTAAGGGTGATGTCAACATCTGAACATGGACAGCAGTGATGTGGACAGCACCACCTTCCAAATAGAATTAATGCCACTGATTTGTAAACGCAAAGGAAAATGCTGAAATGGAAAATTCTTGTTGTTTATGGTTTGACACATTAGAGATAATTAGTTAAAAAGAAAAAAATCAGGACATAAGTTAATAAATTTTATTAGATTTATCACTGAATATCTAGGCGGCTGTTCATAAATTAAGTGGATATGGTTATACCATCATCACGTCATTTGAAAAGCAATATATGTCATCCCATCTTTCTACAATGCTTGCCTATTGGTATGCATGCACTTGCACCTAGGTTCACAGACTGAGATAGACCTGCTGTCGTTGTGGGGCCAGCAAGTTGGTTCGGCTCAGAGCGACCCCAGGTACAACGCCCGTGCTCAAATTGTGGTCCTGTTTCAGCCCATGGGGTCAGTCCACAGTGTGTGTGTGTGTGTGTGTGTGTGTGTGTGTGTGTGTGTCCACCTTGGGGAGGGTCTTCCTCTTTTATTCCTGTCCAAATATAAATGAGCTGCTATATACAAAGTCTACAAAATGACAATTGGGGGACAAAAAAGGGCTTCCACTTTTCTACTGGTTAAATTCGTTTTCAGGGGAAAAGCACTATTTTTTAAAGTTTTTAAATATAAAAGGAAATGTGGAGGGAAAAATCTGCTAACACAAGAACCCATCCCTACTGAGTCAATTCTGACTCCTAGTGACCTTCGAGAACAGAGTGGAACTGCCCCTTGGGTTTCTGGAGCTGTAACTCTTCAGCGGAGCAGACAGCCACCTCTTTCTCCCACAGACCAGCGGGTGAGTGGGAACAACTGAGTGTGAGAGAAAGTAAAGGGCCAGCTGCCCAATAGGTCCGTTACCTTCTCAGAGGAAAGCTCTTGGCATAGGTTTTGCTGATGAAATCTGTTAATTGAAACTTGGGGCATGAAGCTTTCTCTTTCTCACAGTCTTCGAAGTGCACCGAGAGGAAGTGGTCATTCAAAAGCTGAAGCACTTGGACGTGGGAAATCTCTTTTGCTGTGCAGATGTTGAGGACTGCATAGAGCATGCCTTCCAACCACTTGATATTGAGGGTTATCCCCCCTGCACACCAATGAAAACATCAGTACGAGTTAGGGAACGGAGGACAGAGCCCCACGCATGCACTATCCACTTGTACAACGTGGCACGCTAAAACTCAAGGTAAAGAAACACTCCTCCCACCTAGGTGAACAGCCCGGCGTCTGCTTTCAGTAACGGCATTGACCTAACCAGGAGGACAGGGGGTGGAGCCCAGAGGCTGCTTACAGCAGAGAGTCTCAACAGTTCCTGCCACGGGGGGAGAAGGGACTGGAGGGAACGGTGCTAGGGGAGACCAGGAGAAGGGTATTTTCAACCCCGATACTGCATCCTCCTGAGGGGTGGGTTCAAATGTGTTTGCCTCTTCTGGTTTTCCCACTCATCCTTAAAGGATGCGGCTACCAGCCTGCTCAGTCTTCCCTACTGAAGGGTGCTCTTTTACCACCAGATGCTGTTTTCCGAGGAAACCCAAAGAGCCGAGACTGCCCTCCCTCTGTGTGTGCCTCCCCTGCCCTCCACGCCCACTGCACACCCCAGGATTTGGTGGGATAGCAACAGGGAGAGTAGTTTCCAAGAGTGCCCCCCAAAGATGGTGGCCCATTACCAGCAGAACTGTAAGGGCAAGTGGCCCGGAGAATTGCAGGATCTTGAAGAGCAGCTGCGATTTCCTTGTTGCTCCCCCAGATGTTAACGAAGGTTTCCGCACACTGATACTGAGGCCGCAGGATGTTGGTGTGGTTCAGCAGTAACTTCAACCTGGAAGGTCAACCACCGAGACGGGTGCAGGGTCAGGCCTGGGAGAGTCAGCAGCACAACCCACTGTGCTCGCTTCCATGCCAGCAAGCGGCTTGGCCACCCAGCACTGCCCGGCCGACACAGATGGGGCAGAGGGGATGGCTTCTTACTTAGACTGTTTACCCCTTTACCTAAAAAATAGGTAGTGGATACCACATGCCAGAAACTAGGTTAGCGCTGTCACCTTGGTTAGTATCAAGTGGATCCCAGCCAACCGCGCACCCACGGAGTGGATTCCAGCTCATGGCAACCCTCTAGGACAGAGTTCAGAACTGCCTCCGTGGCCTTTTCCCCAAGCTGTAACTTTTTACAGCGATAGGAAACCTCCTGCGTCCACTATGGAGAGGCTGGTGGGTTCGAACTGCCGACCTTGCGGTTCTCAGCTCAATGCGGACCCTAACTACACTACCAGAGCTCCTTCCATAGCAGCCAAGTGGACAAAAATAAGGTTTGGATCCTGCTCCCAGTAACTTTTCCTGCTGTTCACTAGTGGTCCCCTTCTCATGGATGCAGGGGCTCTCTACCTTCCTCATGCCGCCACCCTTTCATACAGTTCCTCATGTGGTGGTGACCCCCCCCCCACCATCAAATTATTTTCATTGCTTCTTCATCACTGTCATTTTGCTACTGTGATGAATCGGGCGACCCACAGGTTGAGAAGCTCTGTCAAGGCGAAATGCGAGCCAGCATCAAGGCGGGAGAGGCAATGTTCTGCTGCAGTTCTAAACATTGGCACCTCGAAGAAAATCGCCCAGCCACCACGGCTATAGTTGTTCAGTATATTTTACTTAACACTCCGTGGAGGCGTGGGAAAGACAACTATTAGAAGGACTACCTGGGAATTTCTGCCAATAAAGATGTTTCTACCTAAGTTACTGGGAGACTCAATCCCCAGAGGAAGGGCTGGGGTTTGTGAGGGTGGGGGTGGAGCATGGTTCTCAGGGTGAGAAGTCCTCGTGCTAACCAGATACCTGGACACTGGGATGGCAGCTACGAAGCTATACACCACGCAGGCTTTGTCGAGGCTGTTTTGAATTTCCATACAGATATTAGGCAGCTGAGAAGGCAGGCAGCAGAGGAACACGACGTTGGCCCAGCTTACCAGGTAAGCGTTGTGGTAAAAGCACTGGACCCCCAGTTTCTGGAGGTCACCTGGGAGACCGAAGCAGAGACAGAACACCATGCTCAGGAGGTGAGCCAAGCAGCAGTTAGGGGGAGAGGATGATCCTTATATAGTTCATCTCCAGAAACCAACCCAAGTCTCGTGCCCCCACACACCAGATGTTCCCACAGGTCTAAAAGCCACACAGCATTGCCCAGCCCCTTAGGGCAAGCAGCGGGGGCCATGGCAGCAGTGCTAGAGAGGAGAACGTAAGCCATCTTTATCTTTGAGGTCTCAGCTGCTTAAACTGTGAGTCACGGCCCTGTATAGGGTCTCAAAACTGAATGTGAGGGTTTGCAAAAAGAAAAAATCGGCACCGTACACAGTTTCTGAATTTACAGTGACCACAGATTAATTCAACGGGTCTTGAATTCTACGCCTCTATGGACTCCTTACGGGTTGTAAATGGCGGGAAAGGGTTGCAAATGGACAACGTTTAAGAAGCTGTTTTCCACCAAACACAGTTTTGGCTTTTCCAGATTTGGGTTTGTTTGTTAAAGTTAGAAGCGTTGTAGAAGACACGCTGCAATCACAGCGCTCTAGTTGCCATTTCTCCAAATGATCTTTTCCTTTTTTTCGTTTTGCTTTTTGAAGTCTTACTAAACTTGGTTACTTCCACTCAAGGTTTTATAATTTTCTGGTATAGAATAAGCAAATAAACAAAAACAACCAAATCCCTAACCCCAAACACTATATGTTTTTGAGATGTAAGAGCCCGTAAAACTTAGGCTTGGTTGTGTAGAGGATATGCTTTGTAGCTACTAGTGACATCATGTTCATAAACTCTAATAAGTGAAAAAGGAAAAAATAGAAAGCTTCTGCCTGATGAGGTGTGGTAGTTACATCATCTGGTGTCACTTTGGGACTTGAGAGGATTAAGAGTGAAGGGGTGGAGTCTAGTCTGTCAATCAGGTCATAACCAATGAGGCCTCTGTGTGGGCATGGACTTCCCCTGGGAATTCTGGGGACTCTGGATTTCCTCCTTGGAGGCAGGAGAGACTCTCTCTCTACTCACTCCCTTGGAGACTCTCTACTGACAAGACACATGGCACTACGCTGATAGACCCCGTGCCCTAGGAACTGGAGAAGCCACGTGGAGACCTCTGCCATCGCTGAGATGCTTACACCACTGGATCCAAAGACTTTCCACCCACTGGCCTGTGATCGTCCTGCATTCGGCGTCATTGCATGTGTTTCTTGAGTCTGAAGAGGACTTTAGAGATTGGTATTGGACATATGGGCTAATATTGGACTTATGGGCTTGGACTGGACTGGGTTGGGATGCTTTCTTAATGTACAACTACCCTTTATATAAACCTCTCTCTCATACACATGAGTGTCTATGGATTAATTTGTCTAGTCTACCCGGACTAGCACATTATGTCTCTGTTAGCTAGAGTAATCCTCACAAGAACCTTAAGAGGCAGAGACTAGGCAGAGACTCGTCTTATTCCCACACGATAGATGAGGATTCAAGAAGTTATGTGACCTGTCCCAAATCACACATCTAACTGATTTGGGATGGAAAGGTTAAGAGTGGAAAAGAATCAGGCAGATGCTAGGAGACATTTGGAAAGATACAGTTCCGGCAAACAAGATGCATGTTCATAGGCTATATGTAAATGTCAAGAGAAATGTAGTAAGTCATATACTTGTAGAACAACCCCTGTTGATAGTTAATCATTTCTACTCATTGCAATAGGCTGTTTCAAGAGTAAATATTTAAAATGTCAACAACGCACATCTGGTAGTATGCTGAAGTGTTATTGGAAAACAATATTACAGCCATACAAAAGGTGAATTCTTATCTTAACCTCCCAGGGTACATGACAAATGTGATGCTGATGTTAACTGGGTGCTTATAAACCTGAAAGATGGATCGGACAAAGAGGACGTTTAGAAAACAGCCCCGTGCACCATTTGTGAATGTGCTATTCTGAGAGGAAAAAAATGCAGAGGACTGGTGGGTATTTTGAATTCTTCCTTAAACAACACACAGGGATTTTCAAATGCAGTTACTTTAATTATGAAAAAACCTATTGCTCCCCAAACACTGGGTATTTTCTAGAAGTCTATATATTGATATAGGTATACATTTGAAAAAATATATTGGCAGCTTCTTTGAAAATTAAACATACCCCTACTACACGATCTAGTCATTCATTCACTTCTCAGAATGTACCCGAGAAGTGAAAACATGTATGTACACAAACATGCCCATAAGTGTGCACAGCACTTTTATTTGTAATCGCCAGACACTAGAAACCCTGATGGATCAACGAATACACAAACTGCGCGATTGTCATGAAATGGAATAAAACTTCAAAAACTGCCTGCCATTGACTCACAGTGACCCTACAGGGCAGAGTGGAACTGCCCTGTAAGTTTCCAAGGCTCTTGGTGTTCATGGGAGCAGACAGCTGCCTTTCCCCCTTGGACTGCCTGCTGGGTCCATCTGCTAACTGTGCGGTCAGCAACCCCCATAACACAGGGCTCCTTAGCAAATGGAGCGCCACTCGAAAATAAGAAGGCTGTCCATATGTCAGCAGCATAGATAAACCTAAAACAATTATGCCCGGGGAAAGAAGGCATGAAAGCGTATATGCTGTGTGATTACATTTACATGACATTCTAGGCAATGCAAATTAATCTCTGTGACAAATCAGACCAGTGGTGTCCATGACCTAAATACGGGGGAAGGGAAGCTGCAGGGAGGTAGCAATCAGTGGATTACCAAGGGGCCTGAGGGAAACTAGGGGCAGTATCTGTGTCCATTCCTTTGAAAATGGTGACAGTTTTCCAGGTACAAACATGTAGAGAAACACCAAACTACATGCTTTAAATGTGTACAGTTTTTGTCTGCAAAACAGCTTAAGAAAGCTGTGCCTGCTATTTGATCTAGTAAGTTTATTTAAGATTTATTCATGAAGTCCAACTGTATAAACCACCAACCCACTGCCATCAAGTCAACTCAAACTCATGGTAGCCTTACAGGACAGAGCAGTCCTGCCACTATGGGTGCTTTATGGGCGCAGAATGTCTCGTCTTTCTCCCAAGGAGTGGGTTTGAACGGCCAACCTTGTGGTTAGCAGTCCAATGTTTAATCCACTGCACCATCAGGAATGCCGTATAACCTGAATATCATGAGTTTGAAGAAGGTTAAATGATATGGAATCTGCTAAATTAGGAAAAAATTAAAATATAAACAACAGTATATTGTGCATATATTTATCAATTACTGATAAAATACAGAAAATGGCAAAGAAATGATAACCCTGGTAAGAGGATGATAGTTAAAATTTTCTTCTTTAATGATTACGTGTAGCTGTACAATTTAACTATAATTCACATACAGGGAGAAACATGGTTTTGTTTGACCTGTTTTGACAAAAATTACATATCCCTGAAGTCCACATTCTATTTTAAGACGCAGAATATTTCCAACTCCCCAGAAAGTTCCCTTGGGTACCTTCTCTTTCAATTTTCCTGGAAGCAAGCAGTGCTCTGACTTCCTTCACCATAAACTATAAGTGGAACGAGTATTATTATTATTATTTAGTAAATGCTATTTAAAAAGCACAAGCGTGGGTCACTGAGTGGTTAAGACAGGAGATTAAGTCTTTTTGGAAAGTCTTCCTGCATCAAAGACCCAGAAAGATTTTTCACCACCGAGTACACAGGGAGGAGAAATAGACATAAACCATTTAAGGAGAGAAGGGCATTGCTTTCAGGATTAAGTTACCTTTTTTTAAAAAGGACATCTTTCAGACATCGAGGAATATGGCAGAGATGGAAGCTCCATGAGCCAACCATGCCCCCGGCCCCACCCAATAAAACCACTACTGAGCTGGCAGGCACTGTCTGGATCGCCCACGGTAGGCCTGCCACCTAGGCAAACACTTGCAACATCCGAGGAAGAGACTGATGAAGATGCTGGGAACTGTTGGTGATTGCTACTGTTTAGCTTAGCACCTACTACTCCCAGCCCTCAAAATGTGAAGCTTAGAATTACCACCTGCTTGCTGCTCCACCAGGCCTGAATGCAGGAACTCACACAGATCACCACGTGACTGTCTGCAGGATGCTCATTGCAGCATCATTCACAATAGTCAAAAGGTGGACACAACTCAAGGGTTCATGAGTGGATGGAGAAACAAAATATGGTGCCTACACACATAAGATTATTCAGCATAGAGAGACATACAATTCTGACACATGCTACAACATGTGCTAAGTGGAGTGAAACGCACTTGCCATTGAGTCAGTTCTGACTCAAAGCAACCCAATAGGACAGGGCAAAACCGCTCTTTGGACTTCCAAGACTAAATCTTTCCAGCAGCCAATAGCCTCTTTTTTCTCCCGCAGAGCAGCTGCTGGTTCAGTGCACCAGGCCACCAGAACACACTGGAAATCAAGAAAGCGGTTGCATCAGAATCGTATCCTTTCACCAGACTCACTCCATCTGTACAGTGAGTAAATAGCAGAGAAGCTGGCCTTGATGAAGCAGTCAGCATCAGAATTGCAGGAAGACTTTTTCAATACTCTGCTTGCTTCAAAGCCAGGAGGACTTGAAGCGCTTGTCATCAGCATGGATTGCAACTCGATGCAGAGAAAACCATCATCCTCACAACTGGACCAATAAACAACATGTTAAATGAAGAAAAAGATTGATGCGGCCAAGGGTTCCATTTTGCTGGGATTTGCGATCAATGCTCCTGGAAGCAGCAGTCAAGAAATCAAATGAGGTATTGCCTTAGGCAAATCTGCTGCACGAGACCTCTTTAGGGTGTTAAAGAGCAGAGGTGTTACTTTGAGACCTAAGGTGCACCTGACCCAAGTCAAGGGATTTCCAGTAGCCTCGTCAACACATGAAAGTTGGACACTGAATAAGGAAGACCAAAGAAGAATAGAGGCGTTTGAATGAATGGTGCCCATGAAGGATATTGAACTTTGCATGGACTGTGAGAAGAATAAACCATCTTCCCCAGAGGAGGGAAGAATGCTCATTAGGAGTGGGCACAGTGAGACTTTGTCTCACACCCTTGGACATGGTATCAGGAGAGACCAGGCCTTGGTAATGTGGAGAGTCACCGAAGAAGAGGAACGCTCGTCAAAATGCATTGACATAGTCGCTACAGCAATGGCCTTATTCATAATTGTGAGGGTGCTGCAGGGCCAAGCAGTGTTTCGTTCCATTATAGGTTGAGTCTCTGTGATTCAGAACTGACGCAATAGTACCCAACAACCACAAAAACAAGTGGAACAAGCCAGACACAAAAAGACAGAGATTTTATAATTCCACTTACATGAGGTCTCTAGAATAGACAAAGGCATGGAGGCAGACAGTAGATTGGTGGTTCCTAGGGGCTGTGGAGAGGGGAGAATAATAATAGGAGAGAGCCTTAGTTCCTGGTACAAAGTTTCTATTGGGGATAATGAAAAAACAAACAAACCTGGAAATAGATCACAGTGATGGATAAACAACACTATGAAAGTATTTATTTTGTTTGTTTTTGTAAAATCAGTAACCCTTGTATTAGTCTAGGTACTTTGGAGAAACAAATCCACAGCAACTCACGTATAAGAGAGAGTTTTATGCAAAGAAAATGTGCATCATGAAAACATCCCAACCCAATGCTGCCCAAGCCCACAAGTCCAACATTAACCCATTAACCCAACACCAGTCCACAAAGTCCTCCACCTCACAAAACAGAGGCAATGATGCCAACTGCAGGAGGAAAGCTGAGTCCGTGAACGTGTAAGCATCTCAGCACTGGCAAGGGTCTCCACACGGCTGCTCCAGCACCCAGGGCTGCATCGGGGTAGATCCATGCGACTTCTCCTTGGGGATGTCTTGGAGGAAGTCAATCTTGCAAGCTGAAGCAGGGAACTGCTAAGGCAGCTGCACCCGATACAACCATCACAAAACAAGAGACCCGAGAACTAGAAAGGCGAGGCTTCACCACCCATTTATCCCTCCGCCTTTCAACCAGACCCACATGTAATTATCGGCCAGGCTGGCACAATTAACTAACTCACCCTAGTTTTTTTTTCCTCAGTCTTTTTTTTTTTATGAATCATTTTTGAGGGGGTAGGGTTCTTACAAATCTTATAACAAGCCATCACTCAATTTTATTAAGCACACTGGTACATATGTTGCCATCAACATTTCCCAAACATTTTCTTTCTATCTGAGCCCTCTTTTTTCCTCTCCCTCCCACTCCTGTGAATCCTTAGTCAATTATATATTATTATATATATGTTATTGTTATTATTTTGTGTTACACTGTCCTTTGGCTCCCTTCACTCACATTGCTATGAAAGTATTTAACGCCACTAAGTAAACTGATTTTGTTCTGAATGGTTTTCCATAAGCATACTTTTAACAATCTACCTTCCTAGCCTGTCTTAGGGCCCGTCAGCCAAAGCAAACACCCCGCGCTGCACACAAGGATTCCTTCTTCCAAGCGCCCTTTCCACAGAGCTTTGTCAAGACCTAACCAGCACCCCCATGATGCCTGTCTGCCATCCATGGTTCCTCACCCAGGGCCTCTGGCCTCCTCGAGGAGATGCGCAGGTTCTCTGTCGGGATGGGGACCAGCTGAAGCAGTACATGCGCCAGCTGCTTCCCGAGGTGGCCACCTCCGATGATGCCCACGTTGAACTTCTCATGGGTGAAAGAAGGGTCGCTCGCGACACGTCCGGAGAGGTGATGCCCAAACACTGCCTGTCTGGAGAACGAACAGATAGACACCTTTATACGACATGTCCAAACAGTCAGAGAGAGAGAGAGAGAGAGAGTGTGTGTGTGTGTGTGTGTACAAACAGATAGACACCTTTATATGACATGTCCAAACAGTCAGAGTGTGTGTGTGTGTGTGTGTGTGTGTGATGAGTTATGCTTTTCCCTGCCTTCTTAAACAGAGGTGCTGTACAGTGCATCGTTTCTCAGACTCTGTCGGGATAAACGGACACTGTTAGGTGTGGTCCTGTAATGCGGACGCACCGTTGGCCGGTCCCTCGTGTCTCGTTTCCCGGGACAGGGTGCTGTCAGCTTTCCCTGCTGTCCAGATGCGCGCAGGCTTCTCCTCCTGGACACCTACACTTGCTGGTGTGTTCAGACTCAGAAACCCAGACTGCTTTCTTTTTTTTTAAGCTTTGCTTTTGGAGAACATCATGGTGAGTTACAGTAAATGGTTTATGAGAGAAAGCAGACATGAGCAGCTCTGGACGAAGGCTCCGAGACCATTTATTCCAGGGGCTCGTTTACTCTGGGTCTGATCGCTGAAGAAAATCGGCATTAGTGTATGTTGTTGTTAGAGGACAGATTAGACTTGTTTTACTGGTCAATAAGAATGAGTGTCTAAAAGCTCTGGCCTTTTCTTGTCAACATCACAGGCCTCATCCTATAGAAGTCTCCGCTGGTTGAAAGGAGAGACCTTTCTCTCTCCTTCAAATACAAGATGCAGGCATCCCTTTCTGACCACTCACCTCGGGTGCAAACAACAGGTCTATGCATCCTTCTCAGGCGGGCAATCAGCAAACTCAGTGAGCAGCCTGCCTCCCGGGGAACATGCCGTACTTACAGCATGTTACATTCAGATTGGGCCCCCACATCCAAGAATCAGTGGAATTTCAGGGGAAAGCAAAGTGACAAATACAATGAGGAGTGACCTAGTTACTTATACAAAGAGATCAGAAGCCAGGGCCTGTCAGAGATCTTCTCTGCGGATCAGAGCACCTTACCTGGCCACAGGACGTCCTGAGATCCTGGGTGGCTCTCCTGCGAGGGACCAGTCCATTCTCAGCGTGGCCACCAAGGAAAGAACCCCTCCCACTTACGGCCAGGACTGGCTAATCATTAGCAGTAAGACAAGCTGGTGGTTCCACTGTGCAGGTGCATGAATGAATCAATCCATCCATCCATCACTGCAAGGAAACCACCAGGAACTGGGCTTCGTTAGGTAACGCCAGCCGAGGACCCTGATATGGAGTGTCCTGGTCCTTTCCGACCAAGAGTGATGGTGGCTAGAAGGTGTAGGAAGATACTCTCCCCGCCCAAGTTACCCTCCGAGACAAAAAGGTCAGGTCAGGTGTGTTTTCTGAATTCGATTCTTCTCCAGTGGCCCGACCTTGCAGACCCAGGTTACCTCAGAATCTGGAACAACTTGCAGAAGAACGTTGCGTGGGCACAGGCCTCGATTGTCAGTCCCCGCGAACGGCCCTGCAAAAACAGCCAGGTGCGGTCTTCCTCTGGAACCCCATACTCAAACTTCAGGGTCTCCAGACCCTCCAGCAAGTCCATTTCCAAGACAACACCATCTCCTGCAGAGACAGACAACCGTCTGGGCCCCTGGCCTGGGAGAAGAGGGTGTGTATGTGTGGGTGGGTGTGCACCTGGGTCAAAAGCACTAGGATGGGGGACTTGGCGGGGGGGGGG